CGGTATCGTAGATTAGTTGGGAAGCTCAATTATCTCACTATTACTCGGCCAAATATTTTCTATGCAGTCAGTGTAGTAAGTCAGTTTATGGGGTGTCCTAGAGTACCACATTAGGAGGCAATTACTTGTATTATGCGATATCTCAAACGTGCTTCTGGCCTTGGACTGTTATATCGAACTCATGGACATCTTAGAGTGGAAGGTTTCTTAGATGTTGATTTGGTTGGTTCTCCTTCTGATAGAAGATCAACCACCGGTTATTGTACTTTCTTAGGAGGTAACATTGTCTCATGAAAAAGCAAGAAACAATTCATGGTAGCAAGATCCAGTGCTGAGGCTGAGGCTGAGTATAGGGCAATGGCGCATACAACGAGTGAATTGACTTGGCTACTACATTTCCTCCAAAAAATTAGATTTTTGGTTCAACCTCCTTTACAGTTGTTCTATGACAATCAGACAACTATCTATATCGCTGTCAATCCAGTATTTCATGAGAGAACTAAACATATTGAGGTTGATTGTCACTTTATTCGAGACAAGATAATAGCTAGGAAGATTACGATTCCATTTGTGAAATATAAAGATCAGCTTGCAGATATATTTACTAAAGTATTGAGTCGTACACATCTTACAACAATTTTTTCCAAGTTTGGATTATATGATATATTTATAGTCCAGCTTGAGGGAGAATGTTAAGAGTATTATGGTAGTATGTGTAAATATAAAAGGGTATATTTATCTGTTTCTGATTATTGTAAGTTAACTATAAATACAAGTGATGCATGAGAGGTAGGGTTAAGTTTTGATCCTTCTCTGTTTCTCTATAATATTGTCTTTAATATTATGTTAACCTTCTCAACCTAACAAGGATCAAAGCCAATTTTATTCTCTCCTCTCTCATATCTTTCTTTATAACCAAGTCTTCATATGATGCAGCAACAGATCTTCCTTCAGTAAATTAGTCGTAAGTTAATTCCATACATTTGTAATTTGAATTTTAGTTTTCAGATAATACAACTATCTACATATATAACATCATATATGTAGATTTATACCTATATGTACATTGATCTATGTATATATATGGTATAAAGTTAAGGAAAAGGGAAAAACGAGTAAAGAGAGATAATGTAGGTATATGTCTTCGTCTTCGATTTCATCTTCGATTTCTTTGTCTTCGTAACAGGGTTTCAGAAGAGAGACGAGTGAGGAAAAAAGATAGATGAGGGAAAAAGACGAAAAAAGAAAAAATGGGTTTTTATAGTTGGCACAAAAAAAAAATCCTCAATTTGTTGCTAATGAGATTCAAAGGCTGGACCTAGATCACACAAAGCGTAAACAGGGGTGGGAACAAGAGTGAGAGCGAGAGCATCAAAATTCAAAAAAACCTCAGAGCGAGAGTGTCTTGAATGCGTCATATATATTTAAATTACATAAAAATTATTAAAATTAGATTTTAAAAATTAATATTTATATATAAATATATAATAAATGAGTAAAGAAAAAAAATTTAAATAAATCAATACCAAAAAAAAAGTAAAGGAGGGGTTCAAACAAAAGAAAACTTTGAGACAAAGGCATTCCAATGTCATTTATTTTTGTCCCACATCGACAAATAAGGGGACATGCAGAGGGCTGACTTGCTTATAAATGGCAGTGACCACTTCCCCCTTTTTTTTCGGCCTTTAAGTTGGACTTTCATGTGAGATTTAGCTAGAAATTTCTCTTTTTTGAGACAAGTACAGCTGGAAGTAAAAAAAAATAGAGTATTAAAATTTGTTAATATAATTTTTTTTTATTGTGATTTATTTGAATTAGTGGATTTATGAAAATGAATTCTGAGATTCATAAAAGTAAATTCGTGGATTTGTGACGAATTCATTCTCAAAGAGCAAATTAGCGCTAGGAGCTTGAGAGCGAGGGGTTATGTCGGCGATTCATGTGACTAAAGGCTGGACCTCATTAATTGGTAATGGGATGTGCACGTGTGTTTTTAGTTTTGAAAATTTTCAAAAACATCATTTTGAGTATTTACAAATTTGGATCTTGTTTTCAAAGCAATGTAACTTTAAAAAAATAAAAACACATCCCAAACGCTTTATTGGTTTTGTTTTTGCTAAAAAAAAAACACAAAAAAACGGTTATCAAACACAACCAAAGAAAGTATGTGATGATAATTTCTCCGAGGGCCTGTTGATGTTGTTGTGGGTGTGGAACGGCAGCTCGAGCATATCGCCCCTGGTCATTTTGCTTTCTTCCTTCTCCTGCTACATAGTGGCGCAAGTATCCTCTCTGGATCAAGTATTCTATCTCTTTCGTGAGTTGGATGTAGTCGTTTGCTCGTGCTCGGTGTCTTTATGGAACTTGCAATATTTGGTTGGATCTCACCTTCTAGGATCGAACTTCATCCGAGGCGGCCATCTAACGAATCTCTCATTCTGGACCTCATGGAGGACCTGCACAATGAAGGCATTCAGGGGTGGGAGCCATACTAGAACATATCTGGGTTGTAACTCTTAAGGTGAGGGTCCAAGGCAGTCTTTGACATTGCCTCTTCTCTCTCTCTCTCTCTCTCTTCTAGGAGAACGATCCCTTCACGGGGACTGGTTACGTCTCCTCTCTTTTCTGGGACTACGTTCTCTCTTCTTCCTTTCTCTTTCGACGGATGTCGACCCTCCTTTTAGATGAAGGGCCTCCCCACCATTAATGTATTTCTTGGCTTTTACAAGTACCTCAGCCATGGTGGATTGAGGGTTCTTGGCGATTGAAAAGAGGAGGTCCTTCGACTGGATGCCAAGCCCAGACATAAAGGTGGTTAGCGCGAACTTGTTGTCCACACTTTCTACCTTCAAGCATTCATAAATGAAGCGCTACACATAGCTTTGAAGGGACTCGTTGGGTCCCTGTTTAACGCTCAATAAATGATAGGATGGTTTCCTATAGGTTCTGGCTCCTATGAAATGTCACACGAACTATATAAACAGTTCTCTGAAAGAAGAGATCGACAATGACTGCAGCCTATTAAACCAAGCTATAGCCGACCCTTTGCGGCAACAAATGGGGTCTGGGTACCCATGTAGCTCCATCTGGTTCTTGTACGAGTTCAAGTGATCAACTGGATCCTTGGTTCCATCAAATTCGTCTATCAATGACATCCAAAATTTCTAAGGGAGGGGAAAATAGAGGATCTCAGGGGTGAAAGGTGACTTAGTTTGTTGAACTAGAGCTTCCATGGTATCTAGAGCTTTCCCCTTAACCATTTTCTTCACGTTCCCCAGATCTTGCTGGATCTCGCGAAGTTTGCGTTCCCAAATGATTCATGACGTCTGGTGGTGGATGGGTATGTCTTCTCGATGAACGGCTCTGGCCCTGCTGTGGGCTTCGTCTTCTGTATGCTCATCCGGCTGCCTCCTTCGCTAGTTTTCTCCGGAATAACTATGTTCGTGGAGATCTATGACTCTGTTAGGCGGTATCTGACAATCCAGGTGTGGGACATCATGTTGTACTAGTAGAGGAGGAGGAGGAAGTGAAGGTGGTGGTGGTTGCTCAGGATGCACTAGCGAAATCTGCGGGAGGTGGTGAGCTTGGATCCACGCTATCAGGTATTGATTCTGCTTCATGAGTTGCATGGTGGTTCGACGATAGGTCCCTAACTCGTTGAGAGGGGGAGGGTCTGCCGCTGAAAGGTGATTCTCGACATCCTCTATAGGGACGAGGAAGTTCTCTGGTAGGTTCTAATGAACCTGGGGGTTGGCGTGAGATTTACTCATGTTCCGAGTTGAAACCATCAAACTAACAGAGATGTAGAAAGAAAACTTGAAAGAAATGATGAAAATTGTTTTCCATAGACAGCGCCAAGCTGATAGTGCTCAGAAATGCCTAGCCCAAGTCCAGAACAGTGATTAGATGGTCTAGAGAAGGGGTATTGTGAATATATGAATTGACAGCGGATAAAGTTGTGAGAGAAAGACAGAAACAATATGTACGTGGTTCACTTTAGCCAAATGATTAAAGTTACGTTCACTGTAAGGGAGTCTCTGGCTCCTTAGGGGTGTGTATTTCTTGGAGAAAATAGGTATAGTAGTTTGCTTGGCTTGGAGCCTTTTACAAGAAATTCTTAGAGAATACAAGTTTTTCGATGAGGCTGACAATGTAGTCGATGATGATGATCTCTTTTTGTAGTGTGATAGTATCCTATTTATACAAGTAATTCTTATAGGGTTTCTTGTTGCTTCCTCTTCCTTTTTTGCTGATTCTATGGTCCCTCTTCCTTTGTCCTGTAGTGACCTCTGTCATGTGATGTCACTGTACCCACGATCCTTGAACAGTTATATGCACAAATATTCCTTTTGGCAGAGAGTGGATGTTCGTTAAGTGTGGCAGAAGCTGTCTCTTTGTTCCCCAGGCCACGCGGCGTGGTGAAAGTAGTTCGGGACCAACAAGGAGGTTGAGCTCCTTGCTCTTGAGCTGATTTCCTGCCGGGCAGGATTGGGGCTAGGCTGATTCTCGAGCATTCAGACACTGTTTGGCTTTCTCCTTTGGGGCACAGCCCATCCTAATCTTAGGATAGACTGGCTGTGGGCAAGCTGTTTGGGCTGCCATGTACGTAGAGGCCCATTAAATGTACTGGCCTTTTAGGATGGGCAGCCCATACCAAAAACCCATCATTATCAAGATTAAACAAGCTTTAATCCGAGCCGATCCCAAACTATTCATCAATAACCAGTTCCTTTTGCAATCATAACAATAGGATAGTTGGAAGAACTTCCAAATTTTGAGAACACAGCTTTGGATGTAACAGAAGTTTTGCTAGTTTGTAAATTTATTTTTCTAGAACCTCGAAGAACATATCTTACATCATGCTGGAATGAAGTTTTGAACCAAAATCAGAAACCTGAAGCTCAATAACATAAGACTTACGATTTTTGAAATTATAATTTGTCCCACCCATCAATTGCCGTTAGAATGTCGGATGCAACAATGACTTGTGTGTATGTTTCTCACCCATCAAGCACCGGCAAACACTTGAGCAAGATCTCAGTTGCACGGTCGAGTTCCTGCTCGGAGATGATCAGTGGCGGCACAAGCCTAACAACGTTGCCTTTACCTGCCGTTAGTACTAGAAGACCAGACTGCCGGCAAGCATCCACAAGTGGCGAGGCTGATACATCCAACTCTATTCCAATTATAAGACCCAGGCCTCGTACTTCTCTCACATGTGAATTTCCTCCCAATTTCTGCATCAATATGTCCTTGAAGTATTTACCTTTTGTGGCGACGCTGGTCAAGAATCCCGGCTTTGTGATTTTATCCAGAACGGCGACTGCAGCATTGCAGACAAGGGGGCCCCCAGCAAAAGTGCTTCCATGGTCTCCAAACTCCATGGCAGCAGCAACTCTTTCAGTCACTAGTGCGGCTCCAATGGGTAGACCTCCCGCAAGAGGCTTGGCAAGAGTCATTATATCTGGGAATACATCATAAGCTTCGTGTGCCCAGAGATCGCCTGTTCGGCCCAAGCCACATTGAACCTAGGGATATTGGGAGATAAACAAAATACTCTTGTGAGGTGAACTATAATCAGAGCAATTCAGCATCAGAAACTAGACAGATATACACTTAGACTGAAAGCATAAATAGGCTAGGGTAATTGAACCCAACAAATGAAGCTAATAGTTTCATCTGACATTTTATGTCCTCTGATTCCAAGAAATTAAGGTTGTCAGATTACCACTTCTATGTTATGACCTTATGAGTCACTCATTTGGAAGCTAAGCTACTTATGTTATCCAGTACCCAAAGCTCATTACCGTGTACTTAATTATCTTGACTTCACAAAAAACTATGACATGTCATAGATGGATCACATCCAGACAAACCAGCTAGGAGGAGCTGACAAAGGAAAGTGAACTTGCCACANTCGGCCTTTAAGTTGGACTTTCATGTGAGATTTAGCTAGAAATTTCTCTTTTTTGAGACAAGTACAGCTGGAAGTAAAAAAAAATAGAGTATTAAAATTTGTTAATATAATTTTTTTTTATTGTGANACCCAGGCCTCGTACTTCTCTCACATGTGAATTTCCTCCCAATTTCTGCATCAATATGTCCTTGAAGTATTTACCTTTTGTGGCGACGCTGGTCAAGAATCCCGGCTTTGTGATTTTATCCAGAACGGCGACTGCAGCATTGCAGACAAGGGGGCCCCCAGCAAAAGTGCTTCCATGGTCTCCAAACTCCATGGCAGCAGCAACTCTTTCAGTCACTAGTGCGGCTCCAATGGGTAGACCTCCCGCAAGAGGCTTGGCAAGAGTCATTATATCTGGGAATACATCATAAGCTTCGTGTGCCCAGAGATCGCCTGTTCGGCCCAAGCCACATTGAACCTAGGGATATTGGGAGATAAACAAAATACTCTTGTGAGGTGAACTATAATCAGAGCAATTCAGCATCAGAAACTAGACAGATATACACTTAGACTGAAAGCATAAATAGGCTAGGGTAATTGAACCCAACAAATGAAGCTAATAGTTTCATCTGACATTTTATGTCCTCTGATTCCAAGAAATTAAGGTTGTCAGATTACCACTTCTATGTTATGACCTTATGAGTCACTCATTTGGAAGCTAAGCTACTTATGTTATCCAGTACCCAAAGCTCATTACCGTGTACTTAATTATCTTGACTTCACAAAAAACTATGACATGTCATAGATGGATCACATCCAGACAAACCAGCTAGGAGGAGCTGACAAAGGAAAGTGAACTTGCCACAATTATTCTAGGAACTGTTCTGTTAATTGCAAACTGAAAGATGACTGGAATAGTACTACGTTACCAACATGCTAGCACATCAATGAGAAATTAAGACCTAATATTTCAAAACAAAAAGAGGATGNCAATTATTCTAGGAACTGTTCTGTTAATTGCAAACTGAAAGATGACTGGAATAGTACAACGTTACCAACATGCTAGCACATCAATGAGAAATTAAGACCTAATANAGCGGATAAAGTTGTGAGAGAAAGACAGAAACAATATGTACGTGGTTCACTTTAGCCGAATGATTAAAGTTACGTTCACTGTAAGGGAGTCTTTGGCTCCTTAGGGATGTGTATTTCTTGGAGAAAATAGGTACAGTAGTTTGCTTGGCTTGGAGCCTTTTACAAGAAATTCTTAGAGAATACAAGTTTTTCGATGAAGCTGACAATGTAGTCGATGATGATGATCTCTTTTTGTAGTGTGATAGTATCCTATTTATACAAGTAATTCTTCTAGGGTTTCTTGTTGCTTCCTCTTCCTTTTTAGCTGATTCTATGGTCCCTCTTCCTTTGTCCTGTAGTGACCTCTGTGATGTGATGTCACTGTACCCACGATCCTTGAACAGTTATATGCACAAATATTCCTTTTGGCAGAGAGTGGATGTTCGTTAAGTGTGGCAGAAGCTGTCTCTTTGTTCCCCAGGCCACGCGGCGTGGTGAAAGTAGTTCGGGACCAACAAGGAGGTTGAGCTCCTTGCTCTTGAGCTGATTTCCTGCCGGGCAGGATTGGGGCTAGGCTGATTCTCGAGCATTCAGACACTGTTTGGCTTTCTCCTTTGGGGCACAGCCCATCCTAATCTTAGGATAGACTGGCTGTGGGCAAGCTGTTTGGGCTGCCATGTACGTAGAGGCCCATTAAATGTACTGGCCTTTTAGGATGGGCAGCCCATACCAAAAACCCATCATTATCAAGATTAAACAAGCTTTAATCCGAGCCGATCCCAAACTATTCATCAATAACCAGTTCCTTTTGCAATCATAACAATAGGATAGTTGGAAGAACTTCCAAATTTTGAGAACACAGCTTTGGATGTAACAGAAGTTTTGCTAGTTTGTAAATTTATTTTTCTAGAACCTCGAAGAACATATCTTACATCATGCTGGAATGAAGTTTTGAACCAAAATCAGAAACCTGAAGCTCAATAACATAAGACTTACGATTTTTGAAATTATAATTTGTCCCACCCATCAATTGCCGTTAGAATGTCGGATGCAACAATGACTTGTGTGTATGTTTCTCACCCATCAAGCACCGGCAAACACTTGAGCAAGATCTCAGTTGCACGGTCGAGTTCCTGCTCGGAGATGATCAGTGGCGGCACAAGCCTAACAACGTTGCCTTTACCTGCCGTTAGTACTAGAAGACCAGACTGCCGGCAAGCATCCACAAGTGGCGAGGCCGATACATCCAACTCTATTCCAATTATAAGACCCAGGCCTCGTACTTCTCTCACATGTGAATTTCCTCCCAATTTCTGCATCAATATGTCCTTGAAGTATTTACCTTTTGTGGCGACGCTGGTCAAGAATCCCGGCTTTGTGATTTTATCCAGAACGGCGACTGCAGCATTGCAGACAAGGGGGCCCCCAGCAAAAGTGCTTCCATGGTCTCCAAACTCCATGGCAGCAGCAACTCTTTCAGTCACTAGTGCGGCTCCAATGGGTAGACCTCCCGCAAGAGGCTTGGCAAGAGTCATTATATCTGGGAATACATCATAAGCTTCGTGTGCCCAGAGATCGCCTGTTCGGCCCAAGCCACATTGAACCTAGGGATATTGGGAGATAAACAAAATACTCTTGTGAGGTGAACTATAATCAGAGCAATTCAGCATCAGAAACTAGACAGATATACACTTAGACTGAAAGCATAAATAGGCTAGGGTAATTGAACCCAACAAATGAAGCTAATAGTTTCATCTGACATTTTATGTCCTCTGATTCCAAGAAATTAAGGTTGTCAGATTACCACTTCTATGTTATGACCTTATGAGTCACTCATTTGGAAGCTAAGCTACTTATGTTATCCAGTACCCAAAGCTCATTACCGTGTACTTAATTATCTTGACTTCACAAAAAACTATGACATGTCATAGATGGATCACATCCAGACAAACCAGCTAGGAGGAGCTGACAAAGGAAAGTGAACTTGCCACAATTATTCTAGGAACTGTTCTGTTAATTGCAAACTGAAAGATGACTGGAATAGTACAACGTTACCAACATGCTAGCACATCAATGAGAAATTAAGACCTAATATTTCAAAACAAAAAGAGGATGTGTGTGTGTGTGTGCGAGAGAGAGAGAGAGAGAGAGTTTGGCCCCATATTTATGATACACGATACTAATGATCTGCAGCTAGTTTAATATGCCTACAAAGTTCTTTTTCGGTTTTGGTACCAAAAACAGAGCACAATGCCTCTATAGAAGAAAGTTTTTCCCGAACACTCTTAAGTTGTAACAGCAACTGCTTAATAAAGAACTTCCAAGCAAGGATCATACAGTACATGCATTTCCTGTCAGACCTGTCCACCGTCAAATCAATGCATATACAACCTAAAGTGATTACATGCATTCTTCAGTGATCTCTAGGATTTTAAAAAGCCCACCCTAGCAGCTATCAGTTAATAAATAGCCTATGCTGCCAATAAATAGACAAACGAAAGGTGGTTTCTTTATCTAGGTCCTTAGAGTTTTTGAAGAACTTCGTCCCATTTAACACGCTGACAAATGGAAAAATGGATACATTGAAGACCAGTCACTAGTCAAATGGATCCTCCTCAACATATACACAATATAAAATTTCCTTGAGCTTGATCATACTTTTTCTTAACGAGAATTTACAACCTACCCTTAAGTGATATCATCTTCTTTATGCAGAACCAACAGAAGGATTGTCACCCAGCTATATTCAGATACTTCCTAATTCTTAGAAAAGGATTTGAATTCACAATAATAATCCCCGAAAGCTAGCAGCTTACCTCATCAAAAACTAGTAAAGACCCAGCATCATCACAGGCAGTACGCAATGATTGTAAGAATTCCTTTGTTGCACTATATATGCCTCCTTCACCCTGGAGAGGTTCCACAAACACTGCAGCAATTGTTCCACTCTGAATCAGTTCTATTGCAGCTTGACTATTTCCATATTCTAAGAAAGTAACTCCGGGCATAATAGGTTCGAAAGGTGCTCGGTAATGCTCTTTACTAGTCAAGGCAAGAGCACCCAAGGTCCGCCCATGGAAGCTGTTAGAGAAGGAAATGAACTTTGTTGGTGGATGAATCGCTTCAGGATGCAGAATTCTCTGAAATTTTCTAGCAAATTTAATAGCAGCTTCATTTGCTTCTGTCCCAGAGTTCGAGAAAAAAACACGATCAGCAAAAGAACAAGCAACGAGACGTTTTGCAAGCTCCACCTACAGGAACGAAACATTTTCTTCTTTACAAACAGATACAAGGAAAATGCAGCAATCTGATAGCATAGAAACAAAAGGACAGCGCTCTGTCAGCAAACAGTTGTATTGCCATTCATATGATTTAGTTTACATGTCATGCCATTCAACTAAGTATTCCTTAATTGATTTCATTGAATACAAAGACATACATAATAAAGTTCCTTGTGAGAAAATAGCATCTTTAATAAATACTAAATTGCCCAAACAATAGAGAAACAATGCAAAATAGTTTAACTTTTGGCAATTTTAAGGTTCCTCCTGATCTGTTATGCATAAAGTCTTGTAAAGTGTTTTGCGTAGCCTTCATAATCTACTTTTAGGTGCCACTTAAGTAAATCTGCACTTCGAATTCAACCTTAAACTTCAATTTTGAAAGCTTAAATTTATCCCTAAGGGCAAAACCTTGGATTCCACCACAAGCCCTTTCAGTTTTGCTTTAACAATGAACCATATTCCAGTTATGGCTATAAACTGAGCCAAGCTGCTCACAAGCAGCTTGAGCTGAACATATTATAGCAAATTAGTCCACAACCACATTCTCAATGAAGGTTGTATNTAAATAGACAAACGAAAGGTGGTTTCTTTATCTAGGTCCTTAGAGTTTTTGAAGAACTTCGTCCCATTTAACACGCTGACAAATGGAAAAATGGATACATTGAAGACCAGTCACTAGTCAAATGGATCCTCCTCAACATATACACAATATAAAATTTCCTTGAGCTTGATCATACTTTTTCTTAACGAGAATTTACAACCTACCCTTAAGTGATATCATCTTCTTTATGCAGAACCAACAGAAGGATTGTCACCCAGATATATTCAGATACTTCCTAATTCTTAGAAAAGGATTTGAATTCACAATAATAATCCCCGAAAGCTAGCAGCTTACCTCATCAAAAACTAGTAAAGACCCAGCATCATCACAGGCAGTACGCAATGATTGTAAGAATTCCTTTGTTGCACTATATATGCCTCCTTCACCCTGGAGAGGTTCCACAAACACTGCAGCAATTGTTCCACTCTGAATCAGTTCTATTGCAGCTTGACTATTTCCATATTCTAAGAAAGTAACTCCGGGCATAATAGGTTCGAAAGGTGCTCGGTAATGCTCTTTACTAGTCAAGGCAAGAGCACCCAAGGTCCGCCCATGGAAGCTGTTAGAGAAGGAAATGAACTTTGTTGGTGGATGAATCGCTTCAGGATGCAGAATTCTCTGAAATTTTCTAGCAAATTTAATAGCAGCTTCGTTTGCTTCTGTCCCAGAGTTCGAGAAAAAAACACGATCAGCAAAAGAACAAGCAACGAGACGTTTTGCAAGCTCCACCTACAGGAACGAAACATTTTCTTCTTTACAAACAGATACAAGGAAAATGCAGCAATCTGATAGCATAGAAACAAAAGGACAGCGCTCTGTCAGCAAACAGTTGTATTGCCATTCATATGATTTAGTTTACATGTCATGCCATTCAACTAAGTATTCCTTAATTGATTTCATTGAATACAAAGACATACATAATAAAGTTCCTTGTGAGAAAATAGCATCTTTAATAAATACTAAATTGCCCAAACAATAGAGAAACAATGCAAAATAGTTTAACTTTCGGCAATTTTAAGGTTCCTCCTGATCTGTTATGCATAAAGTGAATTGATTTGTTTAGACTTCTGTAATACTTATCTTGTAAAGTGTTTTGCGTAGCCTTCATAATCTACTTTTAGGTGCCCCTTAAGTAAATCTGCACTTCGAATTCAACCTTAAACTTCAATTTTGAAAGCTTAAATTTATCCCTAAGGGCAAATCCTTGGATTCCACCACAAGCCCTTTCAGTTTTGCTTTAACAATGAACCATATTCCAGTTATGGCTATAAACTGAGCCAAGCTGCCCACAAGCAGCTTGAGCTGAACATATTATAGCAAATTAGTCCACAACCACATTCTCAATGAAGGTTGTATTTTTCCCTTCACATTATCTCCATCATTGTTATGAACGCTTCATCTCCCCAACAAAATTGTTTCCAATGATCAACAATAAGACCTCCAGCTTTAACATTCTCACAAAAACGTCTCACTCAACATAAGGAAACAAGTTAACAAATCATAAGCTTTCCGCATCAAACACAAGCATAAAAGCCAGCTAACAGATCATATTTCAATAGTGCTGTCAAAATATGACATGACACACGACCCATTAATAAAACATAAAATTAGATGGTGTAGTTCACCCGTAAACAAGTGAACTTGATAGAGGATTTAGTTCACCCATTTCGTAAACAAGCGGACTCGACACAACTCAATTAATAAATAAATTGGGAATGGGTAAAGTTAATCAAACAAAAGAAATACTGGACACGAGTCGTTGATATATCATTTATTCACGATTCATTATTGATAGGAATCGGATGTGATACTTTTTGACACGAATGGCAGGCCTACATTTACACTTGAACCGATTTCAAAGAAACCATTAAAAAGTCCATTCAAATATCATCAATTCAACCCCATAATCAAAATCTCAATGAAAGATAAATTTCAAAATCCATACCTGTGGAATTGAGTAGTAAACATTGCTAACATGCGTGAGCAAATTTGCCTGCTCCGTCACAGCTCTAATCCAGTCAGGATCACCATGCCCGAGCGCGTTCACGGCGATACCAGCCGTCAAGTCCAAATACTCTCGCCCTTCAACGTCATACAATTTACAACCCTTGCCACTGGACAGGACCACCGGAGTTCTAGCATACGTCCCCACGAGAACCCTCCCTTCATCCTCCATCACCTCCTTAGTAACAGCCCCAAATCCTAGTTTCGCCAAACCTGGTGCTTTCACTTCCGCATTAACACATGCAGTGACTTTGAAGTAATTGGATGGAATTGAAAATCTTCCACTTTGGAGGGTACATGAACGATGGAGATATGTTGCTGGTGAAATTGAATTACTGAGGAAAAGGTGAATTGAGCTCATTGTTTGCAATGAGAGATTGGGTTTTCGGAAGAGAAATTCTAGTTTACTGAAGCAAAAATTGAAAATTTGCGAGAAATTTTACGCAAATTCAGTAGATTTTGAGAGAGACAGAGAGGAGAATGGTCTAAACTAAACACCAGAATGTCGAACGCTGACTAATTGGTACGTTACGTCTCGGACTAGGGGTCTGCTTTTGACTGTTGAATGCTCTTCTAGGGTAAGTTTGGTTCCTAAAATAGCATCTCTTAATTATATACACAATTTAGATCGCTAAAAATAACAATTACCAAATTCTTATCAGTTTCAATTCTCAAGTGGCACAGCTAATCTTAAGGGTATCCAATGGGGACTTCATCTATAACAAAAACATAAACCCACCATCTGAAATCAATGATGACACATACCAATGATGAAATTCATAACAAAGGCATGATTTTCACCTGGGATGGATGGTGCACCAGAAGGTTTGGCGATGCCGATGGTACTGAAAGTTGTGAAACAATGGGGACTTTCAAATTTGTATGAGAGTGGACTTGATATTTTCGGGAAAATCGGGTGCATTTAATATTTCTGTATAAGGGGGGTTGGGTTGGAGATATTGCAAATTTGATATTACTAAAATGTCCTTGCAGTGGCTTAAACTAGTTTGTGGAGAATTAACTATAATTTCGACCCCTAAACTATTATCCTATTCCCGATTTCGTCCTTAAAGTGTCGATTTTTTAAAGTCCATCTCCGAACCTTCACATTTATATTTAGGAGAATTATACCCAAGCTCCCTAAAATTTATCAATTAATCACTCAAATCTCCTAATATTTAAAATATTACACACACATCCCCTAAAATTTATAAACGCGTAACACTTAGACTCTTGTCATTGATTTTCGTTAGTATATCAGTTAGTAAATTATACTCAGACCTTTTAAAGTTTATACGCGTGTAATATTTAGATCTTTCAAATTTAAAATATTATACTTAAATAAAAAATACTTCAATTAAAAATAGAATATCAAATATTTAAATTTTACAACTAAAATTTATATTCTATTATGACATTTATTGAAATAAAATCAAAAATAAAAATTTATTTTTTTCTTAAAAAATTATAATTAGTATACAACTATATTATATGTTTGAATTTAATTTGGTCATTTAAATGACCAAAATATCCCAATTAAAATTAGAACATATTGTGTTCATTACAGTTTGACCATTTATTTGATTTTTTTTAATTTTATTCTAACAGATAATATAATTGTATAATAATTACAATTTTTTAAGAAAAATATTAGATTTTTTNTATTGCCCATTATGTGCACAACTAGGAGTGACAATTTCTGACACAACACGAAAATATGACTCAAAATCGACATAAAATTAATTTGTTAGGGTTGACCATTTCTAACACGAACTCGTATATGACATGACTCATTAACACAAATAATAAATGGGTTGAATTAATATCAAATACAAATAATACGAAAACTGACACGATTAAAATGTTTAAGTAGTATTATAATAAAAAATATNTATTTAAGTATAACATTTTAGACTTGAGGGATTTAAGTATATACACTTACAAACTTTAAGAGTCTAGGTATAATTTACTAACGAATATACTAACGACAACGAGTTAAGTGTTATGCACGTACAAATTTTAGAAAGTTTGTATGTAATATTTCAGATGTCAAAGGATCTGAGTAATTATTTTTCCCTAACAAACCTTATGGGGCCCNATTAACTTTTTTATTCACAAGTAATATGAGTCAAGGCGATCATGACACAAAAATAAATAGGTCGACATGACATAACACGATCATGTTGATTTAGAATTAACTAGTGCTTGACACGACCCAAAATAAGNGACCCCTAAACTATTATCCTATTCCCGATTTCGTCCTTAAAGTGTCGATTTTTTAAAGTCCATCTCCGAACCTTCACATTTATATTTAGGAGAATTATACCCAAGCTCCCTAAAATTTATCAATTAATCACTCAAATCTCATAATATTTAAAATATTACACACACATCCCCTAAAATTTATAAACGCGTAACACTTAGTAAATTATACTAAGACCTTTTAAAGTTTATATGCGTGTAATATTTAGATCTTTCAAATTTAAAATATTATACTTAAATAAAAAATACTTCAATTAAAAATAGAATATCAAATATTTAAATTTTACAACTAAAATTTATATTCTATTATGACATTTATTGAAATAAAATCAAAAATAAAAATTTATTTTTTTCTTAAAAAATTATAATTAGTATACAACTATATTATATGTTTGAATTTAATTTGGTCATTTAAATGACCAAAATATCCCAATTAAAATTAGAACATATTGTGTTCATTACAGTTTGACCATTTATTTGATTTTTTTTAATTTTATTCTAACAGATAATATAATTGTATAATAATTACAATTTTTTAAGAAAAATATTAGATTTTTTTTTTTGATTTTATTTTAATAAATGATACAACAAAACATGAATTTTGATTATAAAATTTAAAATATTTGATATTTTATCTTTAATTGGAGTATTTTTTTTTTATTTAAGTATAACATTTTAGACTTGAGGGATTTAAGTATATACACTTACAAACTTTAAGAGTCTAGGTATAATTTACTAACGAATATACTAACGACAACGAGTTAAGTGTTATGCACGTACAAATTTTAGAAAGTTTGTATGTAATATTTCAGATGTCAAAGGATCTGAGTAATTATTTTTCCCTAACAAACCTTATGGGGCCCGAGTGTAATTCTCTCTTTATATTTAAATGGTCTAATAAAAAAAATGCTTTCTAATTTTTGGATAAAAAAGGTTGCATAAACAAGGCAAGATGGAAAAACAAGGATAGTTATTGACAAAAACGAGATATTCAAGATTTATACCCTTAAATTTTTACTTCTGAGTTTTGATGACTTCTCTTTTGTTTCCCACCGAACAATTATGATGGCACTAACTTTTAGCAATCAACTACCCAATGGAAATTCAATCGAAAAATTCATCAATCCAGTACAATTTTGGTGAAATTCATAGCTCGATTCAATCACTTAGCCCTTTAATTTTGTCAACATTTGAAACCAACTTCACACAGTGCAGTGGCGGCGAGGGAAGGGGGGTGGCGGCGAGGTGTAACAATTGTAAGGGAAGAGGTGCACCCTACCTATATACAGAGAGAAAGGATAGAAGAAGGGGGAAGGGTGGTGGCTGACAAGCATTCCGCGGAGAAGGGTCTTAAGGGTAGATGGGTAAAGGTGTGGAAATTCAAGGGAGTTGGTTATTGGGAGAGAAACATTGTTGCAATGGAAGAGGAAGAAAGGTCAAAGCGAGAATAGAGGGGTCTTTAGGGTAACAAAAAGGTTTAGGGGGAGATAATGTAATTAATCTTTGTTAGAACCAATACTCCTTATTGCCCATTATGTGCACAACTAGGAGTGACAATTTCTGACACAACACGAAAATATGACTCGAAATCGACATAAAATTAATTTGTTAGGGTTGACCATTTTTAACACGAACTCGTATATGACATGACTCATTAACACAAATAATAAATGGGTTGAATTAATATCAAATACGAATAATACGAAAACTGACACGATTAAAATGTTTAAGTAGTATTATAATAAAAAAATAATAATTTTTTATTATATTTTATCAAGTAATGAACTAATTCTTGTATAAAAAAATGATAATGAATTTTTAAACATAAAACTGAGCATTAACTTTTTTATTCACAAGTAATATGAGTCAAGGCGATCATGACACAAAAATAAATAAGTCGACATGACATAACACGATCATGTTGATTTAGAATTAACTAGTACTTGACACGACCCAAAATAATNGAACATATTGTGTTCATTACAGTTTGACCATTTATTTGATTTTTTTTAATTTTATTCCAACAGATAATATAATTGTATAATAATTACAATTTTTTAAGAAAAATATTAGATTTTTATTTTTGATTTTATTTTAATAAATGATACAACAAAACATGAATTTTGATTATAAAATTTAAAATATTTGATATTTTATCTTTAATTGGAGTATTTTTTTTTATTTAAGTATAACATTTTAGACTTGAGGGATTTAAGTATATACACTTACAAACTTTAAGAGTCTAGGTATAATTTACTAACAAATATACTAACGACAACGAGTTAAGTGTTATGCACGTACAAACTTTAGAAAGTTTGTATGTAATATTTCAGATGTCAAAGGATCTGAGTAATTATTTTTCCCTAACAAACCTTATGGGGCCCGAGTGTAATTCTCTCTTTATATTTAAATGGTCTAATAAAAAAAATGCTTTCTAATTTTTGGATAAAAAAGGTTGCATAAACAAGGCAAGATGGAAAAACAAGGATAGTTATTGACAAAAACGAGATATTCAAGATTTATACCCTTAAATTTTTACTTCTGAGTTTTGATGACTTCTCTTTTGTTTCCCACCGAACAATTATGATGGCACTAACTTTTAGCAATCAACTACCCAATGGAAATTCAATCGAAAAATTCATCAATCCAGTACAATTTTGGTGAAACTCATAGCTCAATTCAATCACTNACTACCCAATGGAAATTCAATCGAAAAATTCATCAATCCAGTACAATTTTGGTGAAATTCATAGCTCGATTCAATCACATAGCCCTTTAATTTTGTCAACATTTGAAACCAACTTCACACAGTGCAGTGGCGGCGAGGGAAGGGGGGTGGCGGCGAGGTGTAACAATTGTAAGGGAAGAGGTGCACCCTACCTATATACAGAGAGAAAGGATAGAAGAAGGGGGAAGGGTGGTGGCTGACAAGCATTCCGCGGAGAAGGGTCTTAAGGGTAGATGGGTAAAGGTGTGGAAATTCAAGGGAGTTGGTTATTGGGAGAGAAACATTGTTGCAATGGAAGAGGAAGAAAGGTCAAAGCGAGAATAGAGGGGTCTTTAGGGTAACAAAAAGGTTTAGGGGGAGATAATGTAATTAATCTTTGTTAGAACCAATACTCCTTATTGCCCATTATGTGCACAACTAGGAGTGACAATTTCTGACACAACACGAAAATATGACTCGAAATCGACATAAAATTAATTTGTTAGGGTTGACCATTTTTAACACGAACTCGTATATGACATGACTCATTAACACAAATAATAAATGGGTTGAATTAATATCAAATACGAATAATACGAAAACTGACACGATTAAAATGTTTAAGTAGTATTATAATAAAAAAATAATAATTTTTTATTATATTTTATCAAGTAATGAACTAATTCTTGTATAAAAAAATGATAATGAATTTTTAAACATAAAACTGAGCATTAACTTTTTTATTCACAAGTAATATGAGTCAAGGCGATCATGACACAAAAATAAATAGGTCGACATGACATAACACGATCATGTTGATTTAGAATTAACTAGTGCTTGACACGACCCAAAATAAGAGAACACCCCTATGCACAACACCAATAAGAGTTGCAAGTTAAGAATTTACTAAAAAAGTGGAATAGATCAAACAAAGAAGAGAATAGATGGTCTTGAGTGCATTGGTACAATCCTACAATGTCATCAATAAATTGACATTTTTTTGGTAAGTGAAATCAAACGTGTGGCATGTTTGGGGAGAAAAGAATTTTGGAGTTTTTCGCCTGAGATATATGTGTCAATTCAAACAAAACACTATTAACAAACAAATTGGGCAGTATTGAACCATTTGACACAATTAATTAAACAAATTGGCCGAGAGTTGACTAGTATTAAACATGAACCAAACACAAGACAACTCGACTCAATGACACTCACCTAAACAAGTTAAGGTATCATATTCATTGACAGCCAGATTATGCCCAAGTTACAACAGTACAGAGTTCCTAAAACACTTCAAAATGCCAAGAAAATTCTAAAATCCTCAGCCCATTGTTTAGGTACAATAAAATGAAAAGGGGGCTAAAAACATAAAAGTCAAAAAGCCGAACAACCTTCATTCTCAATTGGGTCCAAGAAAAGTGTCTTCCTACTGAGCTGACAAATATATTGCTCTAAATATCTTCTTGGACTGCAACTCAAATGGTAGCAAGAATTTTGGGATCTATTGACTTCAGTACTTCTTCGCCCATCTCCTTGCATCCTACTAATTTCTGAAGAGACAAGCAAAGTCATTTACATACAGTCAAAGAAATTGTTAAGTATTCTACAGTAAATGTTAGCAACCAATTGTCATGAAGATCTGACTTACTTCCTAAGAATTTATGAAAATGGAACTACATTAGGGAAGGATACAATAGAAAAAAAGACATATTTCATCCTTTTCCCGTGGTTTGTAATAAATCTTTCGCTATAAGGCAAAGTAGTGGAACAATCAGGTTCCTATTTCACGCTTCTGTATCAATATACCAAAAATATTCTACTTGTGGGGTTCTCAACGAAGTCATGAATATTGGGAGAGAGAGAACTTCAATGAATAGGATTAATATGTTACATGATCACATTTGCAGCAGGATGAAGAAATCCCAATCCTTTTGAATTCCATTAACCACACTGGCCAATTAAAAACTAAAGAAAACCAAAAAAAAAAGTAAAGAGCAGATCAAGAAATGTGCACTGGAGTTTAAATGATGACCTTCCTCCCTCTCACCCTTCATAACTATTCAACATGAATTCCCTCCATTTTCCCTTCCTTGCACATGGCAGCAACTAACCAGTGAAGGAAGCGGTTACAATACAACCAACACAACCTATAGGGGAAAAAGATAGGAGAAGAGAACAAGCAAAAAGGCAATTGAACAAAACGATGATTCACAACATGTGTACGTACATTTCCTGCCGAGTGTATGTCACTGGTACGGAATTCCCTATTCAAAGTATCCAGCACTGCAATCTCGATTCTTTGGGCAGCCTTCTCTTCTCCTAGGCCATACTTTAAAAGCATAGCAGCACTAAGCACTGTTGCCAAAGGGTTTGCTTTATCCTGAACCCAAATATTTCATGATTAAAGAAAATCAAAATAACTTGGAATGAATGAACATACTTTCTTTGAAACAATGAGAGCTTATTTTAGGGGTAAATCCAACCTGTCCAGCGATATCGGGAGCAGAACCATGTATGGGTTCAAATAGTCCAGGTCCCTACAGATGAAAATTTTCCATTATGTTCAACTCCATGATAACTTCCTTTCATGATGAACAGGAAAACAGTGCCAAGAATCCACCCAAACCAAAGAAAAAATGATTGCCAATACCAATTCACCAAGACTAGCCGATGGAAGCATCCCAATACTTCCAGTAATCATTGAAGCCTCATCAGACAAAATATCTCCAAAAATGTTGTTTGTTACGATTGTATCAAACTGTAAAATGTGGAGTTAGAAATTACAACACTGCTGACCTTAAACTATGCTTTGGACAAGCTTGAGAAAACCAAAAAGAAATCATGTTAAACTGCTCTGAAGATAAAGGCAAACCTGTTTTGGATTACGAACAAGCTGCATTGCAGCATTGTCAACATACATGTGTGAGAGCTCAACATCAGGGTACTCTGAGGCTATTTCAATAACTCTTCTTCTCCAAAGCATTGATGCCTGGCCAATATCTTAAAACTGTGAAACATTCCTTAAAGTGGTGCTTTCATCCACAAAATTCTACCATTATAAATGTAACTCCAAGACATTTGCTTTATCAACAGAACAGAGTTTCCCACGGCGCTTACGAGCAGTCTCAAATGCTATGCGAGCAATGCGATCAATCTGGCAAGGAACATTTCACATCAAACAAAAGATATTCAGTGTACAAACTATAGAAACAAAATAGTCATGTCTAAAACAAAGGGGCAGTGGGAAACCTAAAAACTGAGTCAGATGTGGGTCCCTTGCAGTGGAGGCAGTGGGGGCAGCTGCCCCCACTGGAATTTTAAAAAATTTTGGGACGTAAGTATAATTTTAAAAATTATTAGAAATTTTCCACCCACTGAATTTTTTTTAAAAGATTTATATGTAGTTATGATATTTTGACAAATACATGGGTCACTTATAAATGTCAAAACAATTCTTTTAAAGGCTAAATGCCTCCATTATGTGTTAGATTAAATTATATTGATTTGGTGTTTTGAATAGTTTTATTGTGATTGGTTAAGTAATTCTTATACCAAAGTTTAGTTTAATAGAATAGTTATAGTTTACGTTTGTTTCGATTGATTGTTAAAATTCAACTATATATGATTGAACCAAATTTTTTGGTTTAAAATTTTTTAGTAGGTGAATAGGTCTTATAAATAAATTTATAATGAATTTTTTTTGTTGACTCTTTTTGTATAGTGCTCATATATATGAGTTGTTACTTTAATTGGCGTTCTATTAATAAAATTATACTTTTGTGAACATTAGTAATTTTAATATTCATATGGTTTAGGTTGCCCCCACTGGGCAAAATTTTTGGCTCCGCCCTTGGTCCCTCGCAAGACATTTCTGTGGAAAATTATAAGGACCACACATTATCCCCTTCAACAATTACCAAATCACATGCAACAAATCTATGACTTGTAAGAACAAGAAAATTAAATGCTTATTTACTAACTCCATAGATTAGGGACGCCACTTTAACAGTAAGATGATTCATATTAAGTCTTCTTCTGGGTGGATAATGGGTATTTTTCTCTCACCATCTTTTTCTTGCATCTTCATTATCCATAATTGAATTGTATGATACATGTGGTTACAAATTAATACCACCTCTTGTACATGAAGCAATAAATGTTCAATAACAAACACCATAGCTTACCTATTCCACTTCCACTCCTAAATTATAGCCGTTAAATAAAAAACAGATCAGATCTTCTGTAGTTTATGGTGGATGAGATGGGGTTGGAAAGGAGAAGAAATAACAGGTCTGACATCCAACAGATGTTCACTTGTAAGAGAAAGTAGAATCAGAAAATTACCTCATAGGCTGCGTACACCTCGGTGTTGAAACCAATCTCCTCATCATTTTCATTCATGCTAAAACCCCTCGGTTTTCCAAAATAAATCCCTATTGTAACAAAAGTGATTAAACAACAGAAGGAATATTCCACAGAAATAATAAAAAGAAAAAAATACGAGTACCCTGCGGAATGCCCAGCTGAGACCAATGAACACTAACCTCCAGTAAGCTCCCTTACGACCATTAGGTCAACACCTTCAGCAACTTCTTTCTTCAAAGTTGAAGCATCCACTAACTGGAATAGATCAAAACAAAAAATCAGAACAAAAAAAAGACCTCCAGTACATATTCCACGAACACTTTGTTGCATAGAAGTGAGTATAAATGAAAAGAGCTAGTTTCTATTTTATTTGTCTCTTTATAACTCCAAGACAACTAATCTAAACGAAGAAACTAGAGTTCACCAATTCTAGTACTTGANAGAAGTGAGTATAAATGAAAAGAGCTAGTTTCTATTTTATTTGTCTCTTTATAACTCAAAGACAACTAATCTAAACGAAGAAACTAGAGTTCACCAATTCTAGTACTTGAATCATGTATGCACCAAAGGCTTCTACAATGTCAACTGTACAAGTTTTCTTTGACAAATTTTTGCACCAATAAGTAAGTTAACTTGTAAACCTTAAGAAAAATGCAATTTTAATCATTTGTTGCCATATCTTTAGTCAGCTTGTCCAAATAACGTATTATACTTTTGGCATTGATTTTTGCAAAGTATCATGACCATCCAATAAGATGGGTTTCCACTTTTCAAATGAACAATCTGAAGACCTATCTTGACTTTCAGGGACATGGCTAGCAAATAGGTAACAATATCATGTGGTGTCAGGAAGATGAAGCTAAAATTTGTCCATCATTTCATCAACTTATCCACCTGCAAAGCACTATAAATGGTACCTGATATGGTCATATGACTGAGTAGAGCACCAAGCATTCATATTAACCAGATCAAAACACCAAGTATGAGCCATATGTATTGGGTCAGGCATCTCAGTAATCTAAAAAATGATAAGTTCTTGCTAGATAATAGTCAATATGCCATTTCTGAAATGATCATACTCCGGAAACTTAAAATAAGACAGGGTTTGGTTTTATATACCCTTAGCATCCATACGATATTTGGAGTGTTAGATGATGATGAATGATGATCACATTGTGGCAAACAATTCAAAACGCATGTCACAACTGCATTTGATTTAATTCACTCACCATGACAGAAGAATGCTCAGCAAAAATATGACAAATATGACAAGTCGGTAAGACTTGGCCACACTATGACGAAGATTACCTGTGGCAGAACAGAAGCTGGTCTCAAATTCGCGAATACCTTAAGACCTTCCCGAAGCAGAAGCAATCCAGTCTCGGGCTTCAAATGTTTTTCATTATTGTCCCACTTATACCTTACAAAGACCAAAACATCAAATAGAACCAAAACAATGCAAACTTCAAAACAACACAAATCGTCGGACACAACAAATTCATTAAAGAAAAAGAAATATAATCACCCTCCAATTGCTCCAAGAAGAACCGCATCGGATTGCTTTGCCACTGAAAGGGTCTCCTCCGGTAATGGAACTCCAGTCAAATCCAACGCGGCTCCACCCACAGGCACCTCCTTGAACCCAAATTCAATCCCTATCATAATTCCAGTTACATTCTGATGATGCCCAAAATAAACTTATACAAGATCAACAGTCGAGTGTGTGATAAAGTGTAAGTAATAGACAATTAATAAAACAATTAATGGCAATAATATAAATATTGGGTCAACACACAGATATATAATGGTTCAGTCCAGGTAATCTACTCCACTCCAAAAAACGGTGGCCGAGGGATATTTATTGATGAAGTAAGGTAAACGAGAGAAAGCGCAATGGTTAGCTTCGAGAGAGGTACAATAGTTAGAAGAGAGAAAAGTTATGTGTGTCTAGAGAAGGGTAGAGGTAGAGCTCAATGTGTCCTCTCATGTAGAGAGAACTTATAATTTATAGGCACACGGCCTTGGTTAAAGCGATGACGTGAGGACAAAGGTACCAATTCTCCGAATGGCTACAAAAGGTAAGTGACATTAAAGGTAGCCTTAACCTTCGAGAGTGAGTATCCCGATGATTACTCCCCACGTGCTCTAATCTTCTTGGACCCCTTGGACGTTAGGCCGGGTCAAATTGACGATCTGAGCTTGGCCTACTTTGTGGCTGATTTAGACTCCATTGATTGATTGGGACAGACCCAGTAGGAATTGGGCTCGTCATTTGCCCCCCATACCCCAAGCCCTGATTGCTTACGAGAGAAGGGGGTTGAGGGCATGAGTGAGCCTTTGGATAGATAAAGGTTTCTTGTTACCCACGGTAGTCTTCAGCTTTCCATTTCTACCTAAAAAAATTCTTTCCCCATTTAGTATCACCATTGCAAGGTACCCATTGCATTGACCATCATACCCTATGTTGCACCCAAGGATCAAAATTTCGTTTCGAAGTACCGTTTCNGGAATTAAATGTAATTATAGTAGGATATTAAATATAATTATAGTGAGTATTAAATGTAATTACAGTGGGTATTAAATGTAATTATAATGAGGTATTAAATGTAATTATTCATAATGAACCAAATATATCACTGTTTTGTCGAAACGGTACTGTTTCGATCGAAACGGTCCGAAACAATACCGTTTCGACCGAATCACTGGAATTTTGTGATTCAACAACTGTTCGTTTCGGAGTGTTGAAATTCCGAAACGTTTCGGACGTTTCGGACGTGTCGACACGACATTTTGATCCTTGGTTGCACCTCTACTGAATTTCAAACCCTTTTTTTTTGTTTTTTTAATTCTTGGCACCACTTTTAGGGCTTTACAATGGCTCTTTCTTTTTTCACCCCACAAACCATCAAGGGAGATTGAGAAAAAGAGAGATGGAGACGAGAGGAAAAATGTCGAAGGGAACGTCCATACTGGGTGGATCCATTTTGGGGATTCCGTGGATAACCCCATGAGCTTCTCAAAGGTGAGGCATGGAGGCACCGGTGCCCATGGCGACACCGTTGTGGTGAGCGAGACTAGAACAACTTTGGAAAGAGATGACACAGCAGCAGTGGGCGACAAGAGCAACTCAGCTAGCTAGTCGTCTTCGTTGGAGTGGAGGGCGACGCCAGAGTGCCCCTAGCAGTAGGCAATGCTTTTGGCAACCATAGGAGTGTTACAATGGCAGCAGGCGACATACTCCCGTGGACCTAGCTATTGGGCAACGCTGGTAAGGCCCTGAGACACCAGGCAGGCGACGCCAAGCAGGCAAGCACAGGCAATGCTAGGCAGGCTCTGAGTAGGCAACAGACAGGCAGACAGCAGGCGACAGGTAGGCAACAGGCAACGCCAGGTATGTAGGCAACAGGCGCAGGCACAAGCGCTGGCTGCTGGCTCTAGCTCTGGCGCTGGCTACTGGCGCTGTGTGCTTGCTTGAAGCAGTAGGCAACGTCTTGGGACAGAAGGCTGGTCTTGGCGACGCCATGGAAGCCTGGGCGATGCTAGAGGATGAATGTGGTCTGGGCAACGCCCGGGGCGCCGACCGGAGTATTAGAAAATTATGAAAAAATGGTAAAACTTTGAATGGTCATAACTTTGCGCTCGGTTGTCCGTTTGAATCGAATTTTTTTTTTAATCTGGGTATATTTTTGAGATCTATGACATGCGGTTTGGGCAACAAATTTCTTAAAAAAATGTTTCTATCTCTCTAAATTTGAGTTTTAAATACAAATTAGTGAAACCAACGGCGGTGTGAAGTTGCACTCTGGTAGGCAGCTGTCAGGAATTCATGGGCGACGAGTTGGTGTTCAAGGTTTGGCCAGAGAAGGAGACTATGATGGTTTTTTGCTAGGTAGGAGGCAAACCCACTTTCTCCAATCTTGTTTTCTCCTTAACGTTTTCTCGATGTTGGTTCTTTATATTGATCTTGTCTCTAATTACAAGCACCCTATTGACAGAGCGAGGGTGGAAGCTCTCTATGTTTTTAGGGTGGCATCTTCCACTCTTCCCAAGAGGGAGAGGTTTGATGCCCCCAATGCTTTTCAACCAACGCCCGATGGCCAAGTTGCTTCCCGAGAGCAAGATCTGGTGGTGCCACCACTCTTTCTTAGACTGTGACTCTCGTGTGTACTAGAGCTAGCCCTTGTACCGCTGTGCGAGTTGAGACTCTAAGGCGATCTTCTACGGGGATTGTAGCTCCACATAGCTGCCCTACTTCTTGTAGTGGCTCGATCAATGTTACCTGAATCATGGATCATTTTGGTACGTGGTACGGGTACGGGTACATGAAACAACACTTTCTTAGGTTCGCGGTACGATGGGAGTAGGTTTAGTTGATACGATATTTTGGGTCGTAATTTATTTTAAAACTCTTATGTAGATCGTTTTCACTATTGTACAACATTATATATTACAAAACATTCATAAACACTAAGTTAGTTATCATTTATTTTATAATTATGTTTGATTTTCTATTATCGAAAATAATATATAATTATAAATCTATATACATGTAATCAATTAATATGTATTTTATATTTGTGTTATATGTTCCGAAGCGAATTGAGTTAAGGTTAGTATTACAATTTGGAGTCGTCTATTTTAGTGATCCGGATTGCGAACCCACTTCGTTTGGGATCAATGTACCCAGATCGTGGGTCGTTAAAGATTTAGTGAATTGTGGTAACCATAGGCTCGATGTCCATGTTTCGATGTGACTTTGGCTAAGGAGCGGATTTGGAGATCTATGACTCCCGGGAATATCAGAGAGGTTGAATCTCAAGGTCCATAGGACATTATCAATACCGCAATGGAGGGGCCTTCCATGGTATACCTTTCTACTCAACTTCGATTTTGTACTCGCCTCCTTTCCTTCATGTTTTGCTTTTTGGATACTTGCATGTGGCTGCTGCTTTTCTCTACCTTTTTCAAAGACGATCTAACTTGGAGAGATATTCAGGGATCTGGTAACAGAGAGGCAAGCACGAGGAGCTGTTAAGTGCAATCGAGGTTGGCTCATGAGAGAGTAATACCTCTTGAGGCTGAGTTTCCTGGCAACTAGTGAGAAAGATGCTAAGCTGGAGATATAGGCTGCTTATTTGAGAGCAAAGGCAAAATTAGGTCGAGCTTGTGGCGACTCGTGCGAGAGACGCTAAGCTGAAGATATAGGTTGTCTACTTGAGAGCAGAGGTAGAATTAGGCTAAGCTTATAGCGACTCATGAGAGAAACGCTGAGCTGGGGATATAGGTTGTCTGCTTGAGAGCGAAGGTAAAATTAGGTGACTGCCATCACAAGAGCAGAGTCAAAACTAAGAGCGTCCCGTGAGAGGGCCGCCGGAGCTAAGGCCAAGCTACGTATAGCTCGGGAGAAAACCACCATGGCAGAGGGTCATTCCATTGAGATGGAGATGAGGAGGGAGGCTACTGAATGGGTCATTGCAGACGCCTTTATTGATGGTCATGAAGAGCTTGACAAATTTTTCTGTTATTGATTTCTTTGACTTTGTCCCATATAAGGCACCAGGGGTAAATGGTAATAGAGAGAGCCTTGATGATAGTGGCTCGGTGAACCGTGACTGATTGTCGAGAATGTGACGACTTTTGTCTACCTTGTTGTTAGGTCATGTTCTAACTTTTATAAGTTGTTTACAAACTTTACGAAATGAAAGAAAGATAGTTCTAGACACAATAATCTTCGCAGAGTTTTATTTCATAATAAATAACATAATAAATCAACTGAAACAAAAAATGACAAATAAAATGAGAGCCACTGACTTGTACCCACTATTGATAATAGCTCTTCAGGTGTTCGGTGTCCTATATGTGGGCTAAGGCTTTCTTGGCGAAGTTAGAGTTGCCTCCTCTTCCTAGCCCTCAGGAGATTGTCTATATTTCTCCAAGGGGTTGCTCGCGTTTTCTGTCATCCTGGTTTTGGCCAGATGACGGGACTTGTCCTCAGCCAGCAACGTATTGCCTCAATTGGCCTCGCTATATGAACTCCTCGATCTACCTCTTAAACTCATAACAGTCATCAATTTCTTTGGTTTGGGACGGACTTCATTTTGCTTGGCCAACGAAGCATGGGGTTATTCTGTATCTGGAATAGGGGTGGCAATCGTGTTGTATTGTGTCGTGTCCGGGTCGTGTCATTTTGATTGGGTTAAAAACACATCAACCCAAAAACGACCTGTGAGTTAAACGGGTTAGGTAATTTGGACACGAACATGACCTGCCTCGAAACACGACTAACCCGACACGAGATTTACACGGGTCGTGTTCGGGTAAACACGACTCAAACCCGCCTAACACGACCCAACCCGACATGACATAACAAAAAAAAAATTAGACCAGTTTTACATAAAACAAAGGCATTAAAAATATCACAAATATCCCAAAATAAATACATCCACAACTTTACAAATATCCCAAAGTAATATTACAAACATCTTGCCAAAAATCACACTAAGCCGGCCATTATGGCCATTACATTCACAACAAAACTCTCACGTTAGAATGAAATCCTCTTCATCAAATCTTCTTCATCTCCTAAATCTGGCCAACATCCAGCCAAGAAACATACTAAACTTTTAACTTCAATAAATATGGAATGGTTGTTGTGACAAAAAATAAAAACAAACGCATAAGATTGAGAAAAAGAGTTAGGTTTTATGACTCACACACATCAACAATCAAGATCCACAATCACATTTGAACATTGCACCGATGCATCCTCATTTTGTTCAAAGTCGGATTCATTACATCTTCTATCAGCTCTTCCAATTGCACTTGTGACTTTTCTAAATAACAATAAGGAAAGCATATAAATAAGAATTCAATAATTGTAAAAATAATTAAATATCGTAGTCATCACAAATTATATTTATTACCTTTTTCTGCATATAACCAATCCC